AATTAGTCAGGGTAACCAATAGAACTAGAGTTGGCTTTAAGGTAAGGACTGGAGATTAAATTTTGGTATCATTAATATGGAAATTGAGCCATAATCATAATTAGTTTAACAATGAGGCCCCCTACAATGTCTTTGTGTAATTTGAGTAACATCATGATGACATCAAATTCACAGCTGGCCTTGACTAACTCATGGGATTTTGTTGCAGTTTTAGATTCGGGATTAGGTTTTAATGTCAGGATTAGGATCAGGATGACATCATCCACAACATCCACAACATCAATATTCATCCACAACAAACACCTGTGAGGTAGTCACCCTCCAGCCTCCAGGGGCCAGTTGTTAAAAATATTTGCTGTGTTGGTGTAATGTACTCTGGTGAATAAGATGCTTGTGTGATGTTATTAGAATGTTAGGGTTAGTAATCCAAGTGAGAATATATACATTTTAAGACCTAACCAGGAACAACTGCGAAAAATGCAGCACAAGGTCCTCTGGTAGGAAATGAACCTACGGCCCTGCGATTCCTACCAGAGGACCTTGTGCTGCATTTTTCTCAGTCGTTCCTGGTTAGGTCTTAAAATGTATATATTCTCACTTGGATTACTAACCCTAACATTCTAATATTAATTCCACCAAGTGAAGTGCAAGAATCCAAATTGTGTCATGTTACTCTGAGTGTATATCCACACCGGGCAGGCTTGAAAAATATGCCTGGCCATGGTGGGATTCGAACCTATGACCTTTGGCAAAGGCATTGGGAGAGCATTGGGCTACTGTATTCCTTGGCAGATCATTGGGCTAGTATTCCAAAGGTTGTAGGTTCGAATCCCACTGTGGCCAAGCATATTTTTCAAGCCTGCCCGGTGTGGATATACACTCAGAGTAACATCACACAAGCATCTTATTCACCTGAGTACATTACACTAACAGTCCAACACAGCAAATATCATGATTATTAGATTAGTGGCAATTTACACTGATATCGAAGGAACTAGACTCAGTTCCAAAGTATTGCATACTCAAACCGACCTGACCGCATAGCTCAGTTGGCAAAGCATTGGGCTAGTATTCCAAAGGTCGTAGGTTCCAATCCCACCATGCATGGCCAAGCATATTTTTCAACCCTGCCCGGTGTGGATATACACTCAGAGTAACATCACACAAGCAATTTAGAAATACTTCTTCAGAAATCTTGTCTGGATGAATGAAAGTTTTCTTCAAAGCTTCGAAGTAAACAGGCATGCAGAAACACACAAACAAAAACACTGGGTTAAATTTTAACCAAGGATTAGCCTTAGCTTAGAACAACCGACCCCTGGTCAACCTACAAATATTAAGGCGCTATATTTAAAGCTTGGTGAAACCATAGACAATCCAGAAGACAATTTCGAAATTTCATTGTCTTCTGGATTGTATATGGTGAAACCGAATAGACGACTATATAGACCCAATACAGAATTAAACATTTCATTTTACAGTCGACAATCAAATGTTGTAGCCGTAAACAGTAGCAAAATACTGATAACAGTTTTAAACAGAGTTTTTACTAATATTTCACGACTACATAGCGGATAAATGCAATTTATATTTTATTAACCGCCATGTGTTCAAGATCATATTACTATTTCACTAACAAAAATTTACATACATACAAATTTGCATGCACAAATTTATATTCCCTGACCCCAGCGTATAATATGCAAATTTAATATAAGTCGATTAAAAATTCTTACCTAACAGGAACAGTAGGCCCAGATCTTTCAGTTTGGCTCTTGGAGAACTGCAGTTTTGAAAATTCGCACGTTGGCAGCACGATGTCGCCAGTAGATGCAACGGCGCAAGCCTTTCTTCAGTGATAAATTCATCATATTGTTGCCTCAAGAGCGATAATTCCCCTGAAATATGTTCGCTTAGGTTTGCTTGTTGAAAGATTTCGACGAGCTTGCTAAGAACATCGACTTTTTTTAAAAGCTTCCATCCTGATAGCATCCATGTAGCTTGTGATGTATTATTCTTTATCCCGTCAAGTCGACAAGTATCGAACTTTATTGTTGATCATTTGTATTGCGCAATCAAAACAGAGCCACCGTGGCAGACCGTGGCACACATGACCACAACTTGCCCTGTGATTGGTTTGCAACGCTGCACCGTGGCAGAAAGTTACTATATTTAGTAACAATTGCGCAATTTTTTGCACGCTGACCGTGGCATTTTGTGGCTGTGATCGCAGCTTCGAATTTACGACTGTTTTCCGAACATATTCGGCACAATTCGGCACGCTTTCGGCGGTTTTTATAGTTCAGTGTTTACAATGAATATATTTCGGAAGTTTTTCCTGCTTTTAGCACATATTACTGTAATATGAGAACAATTACGAAAGATATTATTCAAATTGTTTGCTATAGACCTATATTTGCTCAATTTTGCTGTATTTCAAATAACTAATATATACTTCTTAAAAATGCGTAATGCAGTCTAATGTAGTATACAACAAAGGTGAACCCCGGAAAATCTAGGTGGGAAAAATCTGACCGTGGCTTGAGCCACTTTTGCCACGGTCTGGATCCGCGCCTGGGAGCTGCATTCTGAGCGACAAACTGGACATATTCTTCAGCCGTGTTGCGAGTATTGGTTGTTGCATTGCGAAGTGGCAAACGAGAAAGTACATCCGCAGGATTACCAATTCCAGGTGAATACTTAACGCAAAATTTATACGGTTGCAGGCGAAGGCCCCACCGTTCAATGCGCGCAGGGGGTTTTGACGTCGGACTGTAGATTATTTCAAGAGGCTTGTGATCTGTATAGATGTCAAAGGTTGTCCCATATAGATAGAGGTGGAACCGTTCACATCCCCAGACAACCGCCAAGGCCTCACGCTCAGTCTGAGAATAACGCCTCTCAACGGCTGTAAGAGTGCGACTTGCATAGGCTACTGGTCTGGTTTCATCGCCATGAGTTTGGGTTAATATAGCCCCCAGGCCAAATGGACTGGCGTCAACACGAATCTGAGTTGGGGCACTGGGATCAAAATATATGTGCCATGACGGAATTGCTAGTAAGAGTTTTCTGCAAGGATTCGAATGCATTTTGGTGGAGTTTGGTCGATGTAAATGGTACACCTTTGTGTGTGATCAGCTGTCGAAGTGGGGCTGCTACGGTGGAGAAATTTGGGATAAACCGGCTGCAGTAGTTCACAAGACCCAAGAAACTTCTGACTTCTGAGGCATTGGATGGCTTTGGGGCATTTCGAATGGCAGTCACAGTCTCATTTGTGGGTCGTATACCATTTGCCGAAATGGTATACCCAAAAAATGTGACTTCAGAAACACTAAATGTGCATTTGTCTCTATTGAGAGTCAGACCACACTCTTGGAGTGTTGCTAAGACAGTTTTAAGGTTATGATCATGTTCCTGTTGGGTTCTCCCAAAAACAATTATGTCATCTGAGATGTTTCGCATCCCAGGGCACCCTTGGAGAGATTGTTGAATCACATGTTGGTATATTTCTGGTGCCGCAGAAACACCAAACATAAGGCGCTTGTAGCGATAGAGACAGGTGTGTGTAGAAATGTTGTATAATGCCTTGATTGTTCGTCAAGTTCAATCTGATGGTACCCCCATCTTAAGTCGAGTTTTGAGAAGACACATGCATCAGTTAAATCCTGTAAAATCTCCTCTACAGTGGGAATTGGGTACCTTTCTCTGATCACTGCTGTGTTGACTCGACGCATATCTACACAGATGCGGACCTCCCCATTTGGCTTGGGCACTACAACCAAGGGGGACACCCATGGTGTTGGCCCAGTGAGTGGTTCAATGATATCTAAGCGCTGTAGCTCGTCTAGTTTGGCTTCTACTTTGCGACGAACATGAAATGGGACACGGCGGGGAGCTTGGGCAACAGGATGAATTTTGGGATCAACATGGATGGTTTGTTGAAAATCCTCTAGTTTGCCCACACCTTCAAAGACTTTTGGAAATTTAGCAGAAATTTCTTCAGACTGTATGGAAACCGAGTTGCCAACATGCAGAAGGTCTAGTTCTGTAGCAGATTTATGACCCAAAAGGCACCCCGTTCCTCGGTTGTTGACCACTACAAACTGGGCAAGAATTTGCTTTCCATTGCGTTCAACTTTGACAGTTATTGTCCCCAAGATGTTCAATGGAATTGTTGAACCATATGTAAACAACCGAATGTTAGAGGGCATAATTTCAACTTTTCTAAGTGTACGTAACTTATAATATGTGTCAATATCCGCAATGTTTACGGTTGCACCAGAATCAATAACGACAGGCACTGACAACCCGTCAACATTAATGTTAGTAGTAGGTAAATTTGGAAATTGTTGTACACGAAAAATGCATTCATCATCATCTGAATAGGAAGTAACATTGTTTTGTTCACTCACCTGGAGAGCCTGATTTTGAGGTGGTGATGTATAGTTAGCTGGCTTTGGCCGACTCCGACCATACCGAGGCAAAATGACCAACTTTGTTGCAACTTCTACATGTTTTTCATTTGCAGGGCATCGAACATCTTTTGCACGATGGCCCGTGTTGCCACAACAATAACAAGGCTGAGAAAGCCATCTTGCAAACTCTTGTTTTGATTGATTGTATGGTGACGAATTACTAGCTCCTCGACTAGCTCCAGTATTATTAATGTGGCTTGGAGTTTCACGGCGAGAACCATCGGAGTTCTCTGTGTTGTACCTAGGTCGAATGGCATTGATGGAATCGCTAGGTTGCGTAAAGGGCTGTTCCATTTCTTGAGCTTGAAAATGAGACTGTTCAAATGCGCGGGAAATTGTCAATAGCTTCGAGAGGTCGATGTCAGGTTCGCGAAGTAAACGACGGCGAAGTTCTTTTGAAACACATTTATCAGTTGCTCGATCACGAATACCTTCGTCTGTTTGTTCACCAAAAACACATGTTTTGCTCAAAGTACGCACTCGAGTGGCAAATACGTCCATTAATTCGTCACGCTGTTGGGAAGCTTGCCGAAAAACATGGCGCTCGAATGGAATATTTCTTTTCGGTTGAAAATACTCGTTAAGTTTCTCGAGGGCAGTCTTATAATCATCGCCAGTGTTAGGCAGTGTTTCAAAGATTTCTTGTACATCAGCCAGGGCCAGCAAGGTGTAGTAAAACAGCACGTTTTTGTTTCTGATCAGTTACTCCAGACGCACGGAGATAATAATCGAGAGACTTTGTCCACTTTTCCCATCGTTGAGCAAGGGTTCTGTGATCCGATACAGAGAATGGTGGTACAGCAGGTAAATCTAAAACTTTTGCCATGAGATTCTTTTATCCTCGTCGCCAGTTATAGTGTATAAAACACGCACAATATCGTTCATATATTCTCACTCTACTTTTCTAAACGACGTGCAAACTAGAACTACCCAGTACCCATAATACCCCCCAAGCATCATTAATGTCCTCAGTGTTCTTGTCGTTACTACTTACGTCACAGGACACTATATATTTTAGGCGATTTTTCATTAGTCAGAATATTCTTAAAAAATTATCGTGACAATTACTTTAAATACTTCATGTTCGGAAAATACAATGGTTTTGTCAGCAAGGCGAGGGTTTCTGCATGCATGTATTTTCTAGTCCTTTATTAGTGTCTATTATACAAAAAATAAATTTGAAAGACGGGATAGAAACGCGAACCAAACATTTAGTATGCACGTGTCAATATTAAGCCTCCTTTATAAGGAATATAACCAGAGTTTGCCAGAGTTCAATACAAGGCATGTTCGTGAATATAAAGACAAAGATCCGCTGTACTAACTTTCAAAACTAAATTTTGAGCCATGAATAATTCCTATTTCACATCGGGAGCAAATAACCTGGCGGGCATCCTCGTTCCCACGGCTTTCTTGTGACGAGAAAGCCCTGGTCTGGGCCGGTCAATTTTGCATTCTGATTGGCTTACACCATATTGTCTAAAAATAGCAGAACTTGACAGTTGACAATAACAATTCAACATAAATTTATGATAATCATAAATCACAACAATTTGTTGTGTCCGAGTATATTTTGCGAAATAATCTTTCAAAGTAAGAAGTTTTCAGTTTTCCCGACTGGATGATTTACTTTCGCCTCGGCCGGTTACAAAATTCACAAACCGTGTCGACGTGCATGAGCTGCGATGTTTCCTGACAAAACAAGAAAAATCTACTATTGTCTATTGACGTATTGTAGTATTGAGCTGTACTCTGTAGTTTTCCTTGTACAGCACTTATAATGTAGTACAGATGTCTGATGAAATACTACGCTTATTGCATTTTAGATAATACCTTATTGAATTCTGATCGCTTAAGTGGCTGTTTATGTCACGCGATATTGAATAGAAAATTCCATTTCCCAAGAGTGCAATGTAATACGTCCCATTGCACTCTTTGCGAGTGCAATTGTACTATACGTTTTATTCCATTGCACTCTTTGTGTTTTCGATAAATCGCATCCGTCAAAATGTTTCTCGTACGGTGATCGCAGTTTATTTTATCCCGATATTCGAAACTCAGTAAACGGGATTTAATGCAAATACGATTCGTCAAAATGGCAGTACACTTGCAGTACACCTTTTAATATTAGTCTATTTTGGTATTATATAAAACAAATAATGAATGTTTTTGTTCGTGCAATGGTAAGAATATTTTCATTCCATGAAAGATGGAATGTTCCATTCAACTCGGCTGTCGCCTCGTTGAATGGAACATTCCATCTTTCACCTCATGAAAATATTCCTATCATTACACTCATAAAATTCATTATTTGTATATGCTATTGTCTATACTGACAAAATAAAAACAAGACAAACAATTAAATGAATCTACTAATTTAGGCCCTGTTTACTTTATAGCTCTACGCGTAGGCTATGCATGTAGTCCCTGTACAAGATTCGCTTGTCACGACACCGAATTTTACAGTTTCAGAATACACCGAATATTAATACTTGAAAATTGTGATGACACGACAAAATAAAACAAAGATTGTAAAGGGGATAACATTTGTAGGCAAGCATTGCTCCTGAGCGGCAAGTGTTGGTGTCGAATCCGTATATTTCCTGTCCAGCATAAACAGGTTTATACTGTACGCGAGGTTTTATATTTGTGTTTATTTATATCGAACTAAGAATATTGCTATAAAAGCATATTTAACTAGAGGGCACTCAGAGACTGCATACCTCCGCCCATACAGCCTACAGGGTGTATAAACGCGAGTGCATAAAGCAAAATTTATGCATTTATTAAATGACACTTAATAAGTTTTTATTTTACAAGTACAGTACAACAACAATAATATGATCTATTAGCAATTCAATTTCAATTCCCAGGGACCTACAACCCAAAGGGGCGTTTAATCATGTATATTTCTCTCATTTCCTTTGCATATATTCCTTCTAAATTCCCCTTCTATGTTTCCACGGAAAGTTTAGTTGAAAACCAAAGATTTCTTTGTCTTCTAATTTTCCCTGCATACTTGATGATGGAAATTTAGAAGACAAAAGCGTACCTCATTACCTCTCATTGGAGAGCTGTACCTCATCAAAAATCAACGGCACAACTATGGACAATATCTGACGACACCGTCCCGCACCCATTCGAACAATCACTTTGCTAGTTTTTACTCCGCAATCTTGAACATTTCAATTGTGGGAGAAAATTCAGTTTATGCGCATGCCTAAAGAATTAACACGCAGATGTGTTAGTGCGCGTGCGTATTATATATATGAAAAATGTTCATCCCACAATCATAAAATAATCCCGAGGGACTTTTACTAAACCTCCCTTGGTTTGCGGGTTCATTTTACTGTTATTATTAAAATTTGAATGGCCTAGCACTTTGCTGAACGCAGAAAAAATAGAAAATCCTATACCTGATGTTGATTCATGTCCTTATGAGTTTCACACCTTCAGGGAGGTTGGAAAAGACGAAGTGCTCCATTTAATCCAACGTATCGCAACTAAATCCTGTTCTCTGGATCCACTCCCGGTGGTCATGCTAAATCACTGTTTTAAAGACATCTTACCCGTTGTAGTTAGAATAATCAACCTCTCCTTGGAAAGTGGTACAATGCCTGACTCTTTGAAGATTGCTGTTGTTTAACCGCTATTAAAAAAGTACAATCTTTCCTATGAAGAATTCTGCAGTTTTCGTCCAATATCAAATCTGAAATTTGTCTCGAAATCTATTGAGAAAGCAGTTGCTGTACAATTAACTGATTATCTTACTGAAAATCATCTACATGAGAAATTCCAGTCTGCTTATAAACCTTGTCATAGTACTGAAACAGCGCTATTGAGGGTTCAAAATGATATCCTTCAAGCTCTAGATAACAGTGATTCTGTTATTCTTGTCCTACTGGATCTGTCGGCGGCTTTTGACACCGTGGATCATTTAATGTTATTAACAAGACTATCGAAACGCTTTGGCATAAGGGGTCGTGTGTTGGATTGGCTTACCTCATACCTTACATCCAGGAAACTGTTTATTCGTGTTGAGGGAACTGATTCGTTATTGAGTGATCTTGATTGTGGTGTACCTCAGGGATCTGTGTTGGGTCCTCTGTTGTATTCACTCTACACTGCCCCTCTCGCGGATGTGGCTAGGCGCCACAATCTGCGCTTTCACTTTTTTTCTGATGATGGGCAACTTTACATTGCATTCAAAACGAATGATCGTGATGATTTAATATCATCTAAGATCCGTATGGAGAAATGTATACTTGAATTGGGAAACTGGTTGATGTTGAATAAATTGAAACTAAATAGTGGCAAAACGGAGCTTATATTAGTCCATTCACGCTATCATCTGATGCCTCCCTTAAATTATATCATGGTGGGAAAGGAAAAAATTGTGCCAACTGTTTCAGCAAGAAATCTGGGGGTGATTTTTGATGAGTGGATCAGATTGGGCGAACATATTAATGGTATCTGCAAGTCAGCTTACTACCATATTAGGAATATTTCAAGAATTAAGAAGTATCTACCTCGAAATTGCTTAGAAATAATTATTCATGCATTTATAACTTCAAGACTGGATTATTGTAACTCCCTGTTGTATGGTGTACCCAAATATTTGCTTCAGAAGCTTCAGAGAGTCCAAAATACTGCAGCTCGTTTACTAACTGATACTAAGAAATCGGCGCATATCACCCCAGTTCTTATCGAATTGCATTGGTTACCTGTCCAATACCGTATTCAATTCAAGATTATACTTCTTGTCTACAAAGCTGTTAATGATCTTGCTCCATCGTATCTGAAGGAACTTATGCTGTGTCGTACTTCGCAGCGTACTCTTCGATCAAATAGAAATGAATTGCTCCAGATTCCTTATTCTAGACTAAAGACATACGGAAACAGACCGTTCTGTGTTGCTGGACCAAGATTGTGGAATGATTTACCTGTTCATCTTCGGATGTGTGAATCATTAACCATTTTTAAGAAGTTTCTTAAAACATATCTTTTTAACTTGTTTTTAAATAGTGTATGATGTATTCTATAGTTTTAACATTCTTAACACTAGTTTTTAAGATTGGATTTTGTATTACTGTAAAGCGCCTAGAACAGTCTTGGTTTGTGCGCTATATAAATGTTTATTATTATTATTATATTATTATTAACGAGGCGTAACTACATCGAATTTCGGTCGCGTGAAGACAATAGATAATGAAGGCTGAAGCTTAATGAGGTTTATCATCTCATTATTATCCATTGACTATTGTGTTAATCGCATTGGACGCCACCGAAATTCGGCGTATAAAACGTACCTAAAATATTGCCAGCGTGTATATATGACTATTGACCTATTATTATTATTACGAAATTAGAATATATTTGTAAAGCACACGATTTTTTAGCAGCCTCACTTATATAAGTGAGATTTACAATTGTATACAATCAAAAAAGATTATATACCATTGTCTGTATACCTTTATATACCCTGTATACTGCGCGCATAC